GTCTTTATTCCTCCCTTATCCCACTCTGACCAATTAAACTGTCTTTTCTCTGAGACCACTTCCCCAGCTATGCTTTGCTCTTACCACATCTCCCTCTGCAATGTCTTACTTTTCTTTCTAACCCTAGCACCCAGCATAACACCAACAAATCAGAGAAGCTAAGCACGTGCTTTTTGAAGTAAACCTATCTTGAGAATGCCAAGGATCTTCTTTGTTCACATCATTATCATTATAAAGCTTTTCCACTGGGAAGTTATAGTGCCAACCAAATAACAGAGCCATCTGCCCCTTCATTGAGAGAGAGCAAATTATCATGTGCTGGTCCCTGGAGTTCCACAGGGATAAACAGGAAATTATCTTTTTAAAGGGGTTATTGGCAAACGGCCCTATATACAGTTCCCAAATGATAGAAATATGGTCATAGACTATTATCTAATACCATCAAAGAACAATAGAAAGGTAAGGACCAAGAATATTTTAAAACCTCTGATGTATACCTAGGCAGCTTCAATTTTAGAGGCTCTTTTTCCACACGTCACTAACATACACTTACTGTCTTGGGAAACAAATACGTTTTGTAAATTATGTGAGTGCTGTGGCATTGGCCACAAATGCATCTGACATTCCATTTATTAGGCTGTACTGAAGACTTCTTTTAGGAAGATAATTTAAAAACAAGCAAGAAACATCCTGGGATGTCTTTAAAAAAAAAAATGCTGGTTGCTACCCCCCCACCCCGCACCCTCCTCCCAGCCACTGGCTGGGAGAAGTCTAAGATCAAGGTACCTGTCAATTCAGTTTCTGGTGAGAACGTACCTCCTGGCTTGCAGACAGCTGCCTTCTTGCTGTGTTCTCACAGACTTCTCCCTCTTCCTCTTCTTATATGGACACCAGTTCTATCAGATTAGGGCCCCAGCCTTACGACCTCATTTACCCTTAATTACCTCCAAATAGTCATATCGGGGATTAGGGCTTCAACATNGTTTTTAATCAAGTTGCTTTTGATCGTTTCAATTTAAGTTTGCAACCTTTAATGGTTGGCAGCTAGTGGGCAATGGGGAATTCCTGGAGGAAATGAACTACTTCTGGAAATATTTCTCACCAACCACTAATCATAGGAAAGGCGGATGCTTCATAGTCCCACCCCTTCTGAACCCTGATCTCCTCCGTGGGCCCTTGCTTTACTGCCCACATTAAAATGCAGTCATTCTCAAAAGATCTACCTTTTACTGGGTGCCTCTTTTTTGTGGCAGGTGTTGTGCTCAGTAAGGCTGCCAAATAAAATAGTGTATGTCCCATGCAATATATTAAAAAATTATTCACTGTTCACCTGAAATTCACATTTAACTAGGCATCCTATATTTTTATTTGCTAAATATAAGAACCTGATGCTAAGTACTTTTAAAAGTATTTTGAAACAAATCCTCCAAATTTGTGGGGAGATATTATTCTCCTCATTTTGTATATAAGGAAATTTAAAAATGTTAAGTGATCTGTTCAAAGTCCCATTGTTGATAAATGATAGTGCCACTTGCCACTTGCTATCCCTTTTTGGCGGCAAAACCTCTCTTTTCCATGTCCTGTTCTTGGCCCTTGACCTGTGATGTCATGTAGTAAATGCATTTTTAGCATTAGCAGCTCATTTTGATGAGCCTGCAAATAGGCTCTTGGAAATTGTCCTTAGATACTAAAAATAGAAATTAAAACTTCAATATAAATAAAAGGAAGATGCAATTTCAATGGTCATTATGAACCTCAGATCCTGGGAGCTGGAAATTTTCTTTTTCCTTCTAGTGCCAAAAGGACCCCCCAGTTGGTTGATAAGATAATGCAGGACCTGGACGCCAATAAGGACAATGAAGTGGATTTTAATGAATTCGTGGTCATGGTGGCAGCTCTGACAATTGCTTGTAATGATTACTTTGTAGAACAATTGAAGAAGAAAGGAACAGAAAGATAAGTAGTAAGCTAACCTAGGCAGAAATAGATCTAAAGTTGTTTACTAACTGTTCGTCTATATCCTCTAGATCTATAAAGTAATATTATTTATAGATATAATATGCATATAATGATGCTAGTATTAAATGATATAGACCTTAACATATTGACTTTAAATAAATATTCCAAATCTTATATGCCCTACTTGAAATTTCTCTCTTATTAAGAGATGTTATATGCATATTTTTTTGTCTGTCAGAAAGCATCACAAAAATGTAGCTACTTTCAGATGAGACTAGAACTTAGCAAATTTCTAAGGCAGACAGTTATTATCCTTAAATTG